GTACAAGAGCAACGCCAAGAGAATTGAGCTAGAGCTTCAAGAGATGTGTTGTCGAGACTGAAGAACTCTTCAGCCTCGACTCTTATATATACTACTGGCCTATGGTTCTAAGGAAGCGCATCAAGAAGCTTCCCAAGAACTATGAAGCTTCTCGAGCAACTATCCAAGAGCTAGGAAGCTTCTCAAGTAACTTCGTAGAATCTACTAAAATATTCTAAGAATCTTCTAGAGCCTTCTAAGGGAATCTTTAGGGAATCTTCAAAGAATCTTTAGAGAATCTTTAAAGAATATTCTAAAAGAATATTCAAGGAATCTTCTAGAAGTTTCTAGAGACTTTTTTCTAGAAGGTTCTAGAAACTTGTCTCTAAAAAGGTCTAAGGACTATATTCCTAACAGCTTGATATTGTAAAGGAAGTCACATGAAAAATCTTATCAGTATTTTATTTCCAATAATATTCAAAAAAATTCAAAATAATAAACCATTTTTTTAATAACCAAAATTACGACCAAAAACACACATATATATACATATATATCTATATCTATATATCAAAAAAATTGATAAAATTTCCTTATATTTCATGCTCCAAAACTTTTGAAGATATGATTTAATCTAAATTCAAAAGCATGTGGCATAAAATGTTTTTAACATGAAGTAGGTATGGATGAATAGTTAAGAAGGGCATAAAGAAAATTATATGTTTAAAATATGAAATATTCTACAAAAATAAGGAAGTATAATTGAAGGAATATAAAGGAATTGATTGTAGGTATCATATTATTGATTAAAAAGTCATAAGGTGACATGACAATGGATAGAAAGTCAACAAAGGTAAAGTCAACAAAGGTTAACAACCAATAATGGTAGAATCCAATGAAAGTGTTAAATTTAAAGCTTTGATGTAAACATAGAGAAGTTTTAACATTACAATACTAAAATGTATGCTATTTTTAAAGCCATTATATGAGCAAGAAGTGAAGGCATCAGCATTTAGACATCATATCACTCTATCACTTGAATAAAATTTAGATGTTTGAACTAATATTTTAGTAAAGCTTGACCATATTTCAGTACAAAGAATATGTTAGATGAATTTGTGTGTGCTATGTTTAAAATTTGGTGGCATGAAAGTTTTTTTAATTAAAAAAAAAAATCAAGTAATTTTCATAAATATTATTTGATGTTTTTTAAATATTTTAAATAATAAAATATTGATTTTTAATTATTTCATGAAAAAGAAATTTATTAAAAATTTAAGTATATTTTTAAATCAAATAATATTTTTTTCAAAATTTATTACAAAATATATATGTAATATATGTGTATATATATATATTCATATACAAAAACAAACATAAAAACTTACTATCAAAAAAATTATTATTAGTTTTATATGCATTGTATATATATGTATATATATGCATGTATCTAACAAATATACATGTCATATATTTTTTTATGTAATTTTTACTTTAATATTTCAAGAATTATATTTTTTTTTTTAACTTTTTGGCACAATTGCAATTAGGAGTTATCTACTGTAAATATTATTGTATAATCAAAAACCTTGAACCATGTTAAACTTTATCATAGAACTATGCAATGGCATTCTTATGGTTTATGTTTTTTTTTTTTCTTTTGGCATATAAACCACAGGATACTAGTGAATGTTACTGAGACTTGTGGCAAAATCACAAAACTTTTTCACACCTTTTCCAATTGCCCTATCATTAAAAAAAAGGGTACGAGGAACTTAAACTGAAATACTCATCAAAATCTCACTTATTAGTTGATTTGTCTTTACATCTTTACATGGAAATAATTCCAATCTTCTTCAACTTACAAGTCAGAGATTCCATTGTGAGCTTAGATTAGCATGACCCTTGATTCATCCACATTCATCTTCCATTATGAGCTTGTGCAATTCACTTATCCATGCACCCAATTCTACTATTCTTATATTAGTTGTTGATGACCTAGAAGGCCATGTTCCACCTTGGATCTTTGTTTCTACATTCTAGGATTGGTAGTTGAATCCATAAGTCCCAATTTGTCATTCTTTCTTCTATCTCTATTGTCGTCTTGTCAAGACTTGGAAGAATAAATTAGAGATTATTTTTGGGAATTGTTACATAGGTACCATTTTTTAAAGCATGGACACCATCTTTTTATGATATGGATATCTCATGTGTCACACACCTCTGCATACACACACTAATATCCATCCTACTTGAATATTTTGTGATGATCAAATTATTACTATTGAAAAAGATTATGAAAAAAAATAAAAAAGTTATAAATAATAATAATAATGTCTTATTTTTTTGTTTGAATGATTGATATCACATATTAATATTAAAATGTATGTTCCATGTTAGAGAAAATAAACTTTATACAATAAAATTGCATAAATATCTAAAGATGTAACATTTATTTTAAAATAAATAAATCTCAATAAATTAAGAGAGCCACAAAAGAGGTGTCCAACTAGCATTTCTCTTTTTTTTTTTTTTTTTTTTTTCATGTGTTTGCACTTTTTTCAAGTGGTTTTTGTTGGATGAAGAGTTTGTTGTTGATATTTAAACCATACAAAAGTTGACTATACTATTTTGTTAGACATATGATATATATATATATATATATATATACAAGCATACTGCAATCTTTAAGTAATTTCGTTTTAAAGGCTATGAATAATGAACTGTTTGTTAACTCTGATAATCACATGCTTCTAAACATGATCTCTTAAATTAGAAGTAGTACAATTCTTTTCATTTTCCATCAGTCAAATACTGAGTTTACAAGTAGTGTGAATTAAGTGATAAAAATTTAAGTAAACATGTGCTTTATCAAATAGACACTAATATCAGATTATAAAATTAATTTCTTGCTCAAGACTCTATGTTTTGTTGAATATATCAATGATTTCATAAAAGTGTATTGTGTAGCATTTTATTCATTGCAAAAGGATCATATACTCAATGTTTCTTCAAGATTACAATAAATATTTTCAGAAGCTCTTCAATTACATACTCTATTTTGCTTTATCATCTTTTTTGTTGTTGATGCATTGTAGTGTATCCATTACATTTACATTTCTTAAATCTCATATACAAAAATAAATGTGAGTGCAATCTCATATAACAAAAATTTATTTTTCCACATATAAATAAGAAGGTGTGTTTACATATATATATATATATATATATATATATATTCATACTCAAATACAACATTAATCAATTGTCTTCAATTGCCTCAGAATACAAACCACCAACATCATGGGCATAGTGTCCTTCACAATCAAAGTTTTGTTATATTTTTTTTAAAGTGCAATAAGCCCTTGTAAGGCACATAGAGGATTTTCATGTAGACAAGACTTTCTATACCATAAATGTTCATTATAATAATAATTAAATGATACAAAAAATATAAAAGTAGTAATGAGTTTTAAAGGTAGATTACTGTTTATTGCTCTTCTATTTGCAATAGTATATGATAATAATGATATCATAGTTTAAGTTCAAAATATTAAACAGAAAAAAGAAAAAGAAAATAAAAATTTACTTAAAAGAAGAATGATACTCAGTATCAAGTAACTACTTTACATTGGTTACATTATATAATTTTTGTGTAAAATTACATAAGTTATTTCAGGATGGATTAGTTCCTGCAGTTAGATCACCTCAGAATGAAGTATGTGTGTATGTATGTATATATACATGTACAAGAAACTTATTTCTCCAACAAATGTGAAGATACAAACTATTCTTCATACCATCTTCTTCAACCACATTCATACATATATTTGAAGAAATACATTTATTCATTTTTAATATATTGAACACAATGTGGCACTCATGCATAAAATAAACCCTAAATTCATGGCCGATTCTCAAAGTGGGCTCCAACCATCTCTTGCCCTCTTGCAAGAGCCAATACAAAGTTGATGACCCTTTGGACTCCATTGGACTACAAAGTGTAGTAAGTAGCAGAGAAGAAGAATCATACCTCCACGTGGGATTCATTCATTGGGTCCACCCAACCCCACTTTTTTATGAATGAAGTTGCCAACGTGGCATGATTCCAAAAGAAAGGCTCTCTCATGTGGAGAAGAGGACGGATCTGGTGTGAACGATGGGGAATCAAAAGACCCCCCCCATCCCAAGACTTGCGGCAGATGCCTGGCTTGCGTGTCATCACCACCTGCTTCCACGTAAGGTGACATATTGATGCCACGTCACTGTTCCACGTCATCCGTGTCGGCTCCACCAATTCCCTGTATGTATGTATGTATGTATATAATCATAGTCTACATGGAAATATAACAATGGGACTTCTAATTTATTTTATTCTCTTGGAATGAGTGAAGTTTACGAATGTTTTTGAAGAGTATGTGAATACACTGGTTTGAACTGTAAGGTATAGTGAAATGCATCATCATTATAAAAAAAAAAATAATTAATCAATTAAATAAATGTGAATTGCAGCTCAAGAAACAAGTGGAAGATCAAGGAAGCTAACGATGCTTATAAGAGATATCTAGCACTAAACCAATGGAATAAATTTTGTACATAAATAAATAAATAAATTTGAATCAATTAATGTTACATTTGGATTGAAAATAAAATGACTGCTAAGTATTGGTTAGGTACATATTTGAAGCGGTTGCAATTAAACACCTTATATGATTACCCATAGCCCAATTTGTCAAAAGAACTGCTACAATGCATGCAGCAGTTAAGTTCATCACATGATACACAATTTGTTTTTTCAAAAACATTCATTATGATTTGCTGACAACATTCACTGACAGTATCCGTAGTATCATATATATATATATATATATATTAATACAATACTATGGATTTTTCAGGTTTATATATTTTACCATAGATCTTGATGCATTCTCATTTAGACTAACCTTTGTATGTATGTTTGAACTTGTACAATAATGTTACAAAATACACAAAAAAAGGTATGAATCATCTAAAAAACGTGAATTCCAGACTTCCTATCTCTCTACACACAAATGTACCATAGAAATGTTTTTGGCATATACCTGCGGAAGGGCTTCTACGCAGACATGGACGAACGCCCGAGAGTCGCCGAAGCCCTTCGCCGCGCGGAGCCAGTGAGATCTGTGCTGTCGTGACGGGGATGGCGATCCCCCACGAACCCAGCCCTGATTGCGTCGAACACTGGGTTCAATTGGTGCAGTCAGTCAGTGCTAGTGTAGTTTCACCAAACTGGGGACTGTGCTTTCCGATTCCTCTGCAACGGAAGCTTTCGTAGATGCAGGGGGTAGAACACGTGCCAGGCGCCGGGGAGTTCGGCAAACACACGCAGCGCGAGGATCCGATGCGGTTTGGTTGCGAGGAGTTGCCGGCGACGGAACGTGAACAAGAGGGGAGAATGCGAACAGTTTCCTGGAATCGAGAGGCCGAAACAGGCTGTACGACTTCCAGTCGGCCCCGTGTGGTGCCATCTGCGCGCTCTGGGTCTCTTCTGGTGTCGTCTCGACTTGTTCCTGGGCGGGTGCATCGGATTAGTTCCGAACCTGCTTTGCGTGCATCCAATCCATCGCGCACACTGCCGCTGGCAGAAGTATCCCACAGATGCCCGTGAGACTGACTGTGTCTGTGTGTGAGTGCAGGAGCTGAACATGCGGTGCGAACCAGCAGTCAGCGCAGATTCTGCAGAGCTCAGTCTCCAGATGGTCGATTTCAAATCTTCAGGAAGACCCATCCATTGCCCAACTAAAAATGTAGAAGATTACATGCAGCAGATTCTGCGGTGCTAATCGACATATCGTAAACATAGCATGTTTCTGGTGGATTAAGGAAGAAACCATACGGGAGCTTCGCTTTTGTCTAGTACCGCGAAGATTTCTTTCAGTTCCTGGGAGGAGACCAGATGGGTTGCCGAATTCCCACTTCGCTACGAATAATTCTAGTAATGTATGTATGTATGTATATAAATATATATACATACATACATATATGTATTATGGGTATGTCTATCTAACTATCCAAGTTATTCCTAGTTCATTGTCGATGTACATTTCGTGAATACATGCAAACCGTTCTGTTTTTCACAATCGATGTAACTTCGCTGTAACAATCAGAAGATGACGACTGAGACTTTTGAGATTTTAAAGCGGTTGAAATTCAAAAATTTGTGGCAGAATTCTGTTTTGGTATTTTTGTTCAATCCTAATTTTCGTATAGTATGTCTGCATGTGTGTGTGTGTGTGTGTATTGTGTCTCTCTCTACCTGTGTTTATATTTGTACATTTCAGCAAGTCCGGGATAGCCATCTGTTTTGTCCATTTTGCATCAAATAATTGCAAAGAATACAGAAAATTTGATGGCCTGGTTAGAAATGGAACAATTATGTTGATAATGTACACATACATACATACATACATACCAGAGCATCCTGATAATTGAGTATTCGTGTTTAATCCTTATTATTCTTATATATACATAAGCGATATATATATATATATATATATATATATATATATATGCAAATGTCTTTGAACACATAATCAGTGTGTGTTTAGGATTTTGACTCAAACATCGGTCACAACATGAGGAGGATATGTAATTATCATATCCACTTTCCAAGAGTATAAAAACATTGTCAAAATTGTGTATTTATAGTTTAAATTTTGGTGGGTACAAGTATGTTTCACTCATCGGAATCAAATTGTAGTGCACGCCTTATGAAGACTATTCACTTCACAACGTGCACAGGTCATAATGCATTTAGGAACCAGTTCATTACGAAAAGTAATTCTCTAAGGTCTGTCCGCTTCAAAAGTGGCTTCGGGGACTGTCGGTACGAAGCTTCGCTATCAGCTGGCTGCACTGACACGGCTTTCAATACGGGCAATCTCTCCGAAACAAGAATTTCACCGCATCGCTATTCTCTCTCTTCGCTCTGCTTGTGACGTTACTGGCCATCGCAACTGCAGAAGTTGGGGAACCGACGTATTCGACTCGGACACAAAAATCAGTTCATCAAGCTCCAAGTCTTGCGAACGAAGAGGGTGAGGTCAAGGAAGTGGCTGCACCCCAAGATCGTGTTTTACCTCCGACATAGTAATTGCCGGGAGCAGCTCGTGAAATTCTGCGAGGAAATTGGCATTTCAGAACTTGTGGTTTGTGGGAAGGGTTTGGGCAGGCAGGTCGGTAGGACAGTACAAGCGCCGGGCATGTCGTGGACAGAATGGGGATGCTAAAAATATAGGCTGGTGTTCGTGACTGCTTCGCGAGTATTCGAATTCCGGACCCGGAAGATACGAGTGGAGATGTTTCGCGGGCCATTGACAAGCCGGGTTGTGACTGGCCCAACTCCTGGGATCCGGTATTGACTTGGGTCCAGCTTATGCACCTCAGCCGAGCTGGGAGTGGTGTCTATATATTTGCTATTTATAATTTTGCTCAGAAGCCTAGTGAGTTTCGGGAGTGCGGTAAGGCTGTAGTGGGTCAATGCAGAGTTTCGCATGGAGTAATACTTTGCGCTTCAGTCGACCAGATCGTGAGCTTGGTTAGCCTTGATCGCGCTTGCTCAAGTTCCTTTCGTACTGGTGCGGAACTTGCCTCACATCCTTTCTGTGCAGTAGAGCGTCGGATATTTCTATGAATGCTGAGGCTTGTGGTCTTCCGAGGTGAAAGTGACCTTCTGGTGATGCACCTTTCGGTTCTTCTGTTTTTCTGAAGAGAATTGAATTCTCATAGGCGCTGCCGATGCCATTAATTCTCCTGATGCTAACGAATCATTTGGGCAAGTCTGTTTTGGAAAAGAGAACGCTACTTCAGCGAGAACTAGCCTGAATACACAGGCTCGTTTTAGAGCATATATCTGATTCAGGATCTCACGCGTATCGTCGCTGAATGGGTGCATTCGGGTTTCCGACGTGTTGCTTGGGATTTACTCGTGATTATTTCTGTTGATCTGACAGGACTGACACCTTTCCGCATTGCAAAGTCGTTTGTTACGTGCTAGGAGCCGGTAAGGATAACTCGGAGCCGAACTTGAGCACCGATGCTGCCGCTACTTCATAGTCCATCTTCGTCATTCTGCTATTCAAAAAGTCTCCTCATTAGAAGTCAGCACTGCTGTGTACCTTCCTTCGTGCACAATCCCGCTCACATAGTTGTATGGCCTTTCCGAAATGATCAGCTGGGAGTAGTTGAAGCAGTATTTCTCAGGTAGTTCGGCATTTTCATCGGTTGTATTTCGGAAAGATGTAGTTGGTGGCGGTAAAGGCACACTTTGCGGGTGTTACAGTTCATTACACGTAAGAAGTGATTTCCGAAGTGTCGCCAATTCCGAAAAGCCCCGTAAGAGTAGTTTGTCCCTTCCGAAAGGCAGCAGTCTTCTGCTCTCAACAACTGATGGGGTATGTGTTAGCTTGGGATATTGCGAGTTTTCTCTGGTTTCGGAGACGAGTAGAGAGTTTTTGTCCGCCCCACACGTTAGTTTTTGTGCACGACAATTTTTGCTTCTGTTGTGCCCCATCGGCTCGGGCATTTCTCTCGCTTGGAATGCGGCGCATACTGGACTTGTAATATTACTAAGGCGCTTGTTGTCGAAGTTCTTGCGAACGCAACATTACAGGGCTTTTATGGCTAGAGATGAATGACGCAAGCGATGGAATATTCACGTATGAGCGAGGCCCTTCTTCTTCTGAACGGCTCACCATCTTAGACGTAGCCTAGCACTGTAGCTAACAAACTGTTCTGATGAGCCGGCATTGTGTCCCGGGAATGGATATCAGTGTGAAGCTGGGAATTGATGCCTTTCCATCGCAGTGAATACTCAGTGTTTCGAATTGGAGTGTGTCGAGAAACTTGGTGAATTGATTAAATTCTTGTATCGTTTGCAGGTCGTTTTAATGTGTAATCACCTAGGCCTACAATTCTCTGACAACCATGGCAGTGGACACGTCTATGAGGACTCCCTCAGCAGCTACTCCACAGACCAAGGTGCTTGCTCTTGCAATGAATCTTTATCCTGCCAGATAAACCTTAGTTCTTGTAAAATATTAGTCGCCAGCTTCCAGAATGCAACTGGCCTTGTTCCAGTAAGTTATCTTTTGTCAGTGTTCGGATTCGATGGGCTGTGCAAAAGTGGAAGTTTAGGAGCTTAGACGCACATTTATGTTGTAGTTCATGGGATGGTTAAGTGTCATATCTTGATTCTGGATTCCTTAGCCGGGTCTATCAAACATTCTTTTGAGTGCTCTGGCTTTAATAAGATGTACCTTGGAATTGAATATTTGCTTGGATTGTTTTTTCCAGCAGGAAAGTGAAAACCCCACGGTACCTATAAAGGCCTGGTACTATAATGATAACGACGATCTTCCGAGCAAGCCGCACCAGTACTCTCCCAACCGAGAAGTGTCGATCGATCATCTGCAGAGTGAGTCCAGCATCACTCTGACCACTGTTCATAAGCATTCACTACAAACATTGGTATTAGAAATACGTCATAATGTCCGTCCGTCTGAATTTGGACGACGTGCATGTGAATTTCAGAAAAGTTGCAAGATTAGTTCGCAAATACAAACGACACCACCAATCAGACTTATTTTCAAACCTGCAAAGCTAATATGAGATGTGGTTCAAAATTAATTAGTGTATCGACGTGCTGGAAATTTCAATCTGTTGAAATCCACGCATTTCGCAGCTGCTTAGGTGAGAAAACGGGCTGCTAGCTTTTAATTCTCATGGTGCTCATTTTCATTCGAAGTATGTGACCACAGAGCTCGGAGTCCTTACATGGACCCAAATTGAAGCGGACGGCTACGAGAACAATAGATTCTTGAACAAGATTAAGGCTGTTCGGGGTTACAATTACGAGGTGAAGCTCGAAGTCATTTAATTATTTGTTTTCTTACCCACACCTACATCAATGGATAGAAGCAGCGCTCTTTCTGTATTGTGCAGAAGTCAACTCACACTTAAAACAAAGAAAGAAACGATTGGTGTCCTTTCAGTGTTATTTGACGTTATGTCCAATGCGTGATGTGGCCTTACAGGAGGTATTGACTGTTGCGCCTGGGAAGTTGCCAAATTTCGAGGCTAACACGAAGAAGTTTTTTATGGAGCACTTGCACGACCACGAAGAGATTCGTTTCATCCTTGATGGCATAGGTTGGTTCTACACACTCTTGGTGTTTTCTGCATTTTTTAGCATGATGGACAGCTTGGTGCTTTGGTGTTAGTTAGGAAATCGAATTTTGGTGATGCCTTGAAGCTAAAAGCCGCCTTGCTTTGATTTGAGTGCAGGTTACGAGGATGTGAGGGATTTTGACGGACAATGGATCCGAATCGAGATAAAGAAAGGCGATCTTATTGTATTGCCACCAGGCATGTACCACCGCTTCACCCTCGACGAGAAGCAGTATCTTAAGGTAGTTACTATCACTGGCTCTGTGAGCACCAAACGTTCATCTTTATTGACCTCATGACATCAGAAAAATGATGGAAAATTAATCAATCAACTGGGGACTGCAGGGAACCGAACATCCTGATGACTGTTAGCGTGGAAAAGTACTCCATGCAAATAGACTTCGTCTTTAACCCCCCTTTTCTAAGTCTACAAACTTGTAATCGCTGATCCGTAGATCCATGTGAAATTTGGCTGGCAGGCACTTCTGTTATACCAAGGGACCCCGAAGCGCATCCAGTTCGAGAAGTACCCCGAAACCGACAGCATGGAAGTCCGGTGTGTGACTGCACTAATTTTATGTCTTTTCAGGAACTAATTACCTGGCACTCAGAACTCAGCTTAGAATAATACTATCCCTGGCTATTAGACACTGATGTGTGATGCGCGTGGGTAATTCTTAGGCTGGACTATGTCCAATCAGTGCTGGAGCGGGAGCTGCAGTCGCCGTCGGAGAGGCAGCTCATCTCGGAATCGATGAACCAAGTCCTCGCGGCGACCACTAAAGCCATGGAAGTCATCACAGTGTGAACCAGCTCCCTGTACCAATTCCCTTACCTATTTCCCGTTAGCTCCCATGACGAACGTGCATTATATTCCCGAGCTAAAGCGTCGACATCTCCCGGAACGCCTCCATGGGTGCCACCTTAGCTTCAATCATCCACAACAGAGGGGCAATGTAAGCGACGTGGATCAATTCTCATATCTTGTGGGCTTCCATACCTCCTTCGGCTGCCAGTTGTTTGTATAATCGAAAAAATGGAGCACTGTAATAATCGTTTAGTTCCCGGGATTCGGTGTTTTCTAGCTCTTCTTTTCTTACTGTTCAGAAACAAGGATTTCCATCTGTAAGATGAGGTTCGATCAAGTTTAACACATGATGTTTTCCATGCCTGTTTTCTTTTTATAGGAATCCCATGTCTTTGTTAGTTAGGACAGGGAGAGAGAGAATACGCGAATCTCGGCCTGGATTCGAGATGGTCTCTAAAAATCTTAGTGGGCACACCACTCAGATCCAGTGCCGAAATAGCTTGCCATCCCTCTCGTGCTTTGCTTGAAACAGGAGCTCCGATTCTGTGCACTTTTTATTCTTTTTCCTTGTTAGGTGCCTAGTTTGCATGAGAGGAGGAGAGTAGATCTGACAACACATGTTTAGAGTATGATACAAACAAGCTGACGCACGATACGTGTAAAATAATTTGAAGATGTAACTTTTCTTTTCTATTTCTCATTTTTTGAAAACTAGAGTGGAATCTTTTTAGAGAAAACTAGTGTCAAAGCTATGTATTGGTTGCTTTTGGTTAACTTTCGTGAATTTCAAAATGTCATAAAGGAACATTTGTAAAGGACCACACTAAGGAAAGGAGATTGGACATATTTTGTGGAGAATCTTACTTTATCCAATATCCTTTCTTTGGTGCCACTTCTTATACCACAAGCACAAATTAATTATTGTGGTTTGTCAAATAGCACAACTATGGATTAAGTTTTTATTTTATAATAAATTATAATATGATATTTAAAAAAATATAATCTGATATCTATATATATATATATATATGAATATATGTTATTATATTAAATACATTATCTAAAGTAATATTTTAGATTTTTTTAGAGTAATAAATATTTTACTAAATAAATTTATATCTATAAAATTATAATTATTAATTATAATTATTAAAACTTAAAATTCTATCAATATTAATGAATTCCACTAGTAGAAAATACTATTAAATTCTGCAATAAGTAGCAATTTTAATACTCCAATTATTAACTAAGTCAATTGTAAATTTTATCTTAACAAAAATTGGAATTTTATGGATATCATATAGATATAGAGTGTTACTCTATTTTGAAATAGATTTTAAGGCTAAAACAAAAATATAGTCACAGCCTTATATTTTTCAAAGGCATTAGATAAGGATATTATTACTTTCCAAAATTTGTTTTATTTTGACTTTTTCAATTGATTATGTTATCTTTTGAAAAAATCCAAAAAAGATCATGGCCATTCTTTGCTCTATTTGATATTATTAAAAATTAATTCATTTTATTTTCATTTAAATTATTTATAGAATTTTATTACATATTTTTTTGATATACTTGTCAAAGACATGAATCTCGAAAAAAGATATCCTTAATATACTCTTGTGTCATTCAAAAGAACTAAAAAATAACTCAAAGATGATATGATATTAAATTAAAATGGCTATTTCCAAAGACTAAAAAATTAGAAAGACTTGAAACAAGACTAAAGACTAGAAAGGTATTGACAAGAGTGAAGAAGGCTTTTTTCTTGCCTCCATATATACTCTTAACTAGAAGCTATGTGGCGATGTCATATAGGACCTCCAAAACGTGTTGACTTTCCAAGTCACATATCTTAACTTGTAAGGTAAGTTTTTTGTATGTATGCTTTATAATTACCTTGTTCCGCAAGCTACCAATACATGGTTAACTTGTTGACCAAGTTTCTAATCTATCAATCAACTACAAACACATGTAAAGTCAAAGCAACATCTATGAAGCTTTTAGGAAGTTTTTTTAAAAAATATTATGAAATAAATCTACTTTTACCTACTTCTACTTAATCATACAAGTAAATATTAGAATAAATATTCATGTCAGTGAAATTATCTCTCCTTTTAGGGATGAATTTCATGAGGAGCAATCTTCATATATTGAAGAAATCTAAGATATAAAAAATTCTATTTATCACATAATTTGATTTTTGTTCTTTTTGAAGATAGTTGATAGGTCCTCTCAACTATCAATAATATCTCATACAAGACCACCTTGTTATTTGATTATTATTGAGGCCTCCATAACTTTCCTTAAATGAAATATTTGGAATACTATTAAGAGTTGTTCCTACTTCTAATAAAATCACCAAATATTGGAAGTCACTTTTAAAGTTGTGATACCAAATACATTATATTTTGCCATCTATTTGAGGTAGGTCATATCATTCTTGAGGATCTTCATCTCAATTACATCATCTTGAAGGTTGTAACAATTACAATGTTATATCCAATAAATCAATAAGTAAAAGTTCTTGAGTTGAATCTATTGATTGTTGATTTTCTATCTCCTTTGTATCACAAATACATAAGCTACAAAGAAGGATAGAAAATAGAATGTTATCTTCTTTGAATCTTGTTTCTTTTATAGGAAAGATTTTTTATTCTTTATCTTAATTTTAATAGATGTTGTCAATGAAAATCCTCAACTTTTTTTACTGTATTTATAAGATTCTTTACTTGCTCTCATGTGCATTTACTAATATCATATTTGTGCCAATAAACAAGATATTTCAACCTATTTCAATATCACCTTGAATCTAAGACTTCTTCTATATCAAACTCTTGATTATTATCTACTTTTATAGGAGGAGGTGGTATTTCTCTTCTTCTTGAGATATTTATTATCTTATATGTCTCAAAAAGAGATATGTGAAATATAAGGTCGATCTTCATAGACTCCAATAATTGTAATTGATAAAGAACATAATTGACTTGTTCACAAATAAGAAAAGGTCCAAGCCTATAATAGTCTAATTTGTCACAAGGACAAGTACTCTTAATATTATGATCGAATAATTATATCTTATCACATATATTGAATTGTGGATTTTGCTTGTGATAAGCATCCATATTGATCTTTTGTCATTCTTTAGCTCTCTTTAATAATGCCTTTATTATTGAATGTAACTATAATAAAGAATTTGTCAAATCTTCTACTGCATGATTGTTAATTTTTGAAAAGTCAAAAGTATCAAGTCATAGATGATAACCATAATTGGAAAAAAAAAAAATATTTCGTAGAAGAATGTATTACATTATTATATGTAAATTCTACTAATAGAAAAAGAGTTGTCAAATTATCTTGATGATAATTGATGGTACACCTCAAATACTATTTAAGAATTTGATTCATCTGTTTTGTTTGCTTATCAATTTGAAGAAAAAAAGTCAAAAAGAGCTTTATATCTACTTTTAGAATCTTAAAAAAGATTCTTTAAAATCTTGATATAAATTAAATTTTTTTATTTGATATAATATTCTTAGACAATCCATGATAGGAATAGATGTTATCAAGAAAAAGCTTAGCTATTTCTTCACTTGTGATAGATTTTGTATATGATACAAAATATGCCATTTTGGTAAAATAATCTATTATCATAAATATAAAATCATATGAATCTAAGATTGAAAGATTTATGATAAAATCTATAAAAACGGAAGATCATCATTGTTTGAGATAGGTAATGGTTGAAGAAGTCCATAAGGTCAATGATGAGGAATTTAGATCTTGAATAAATATCACATGATTATACAAAGTGTTTAACTACCTTCGACATTTGAGATGATCAAAAAACTCTCAATGTTAGCTCCAAAGTCTTGTTGTATCTAAAATATTTGACTACCAAAAAATCATGATAAGCTTGAAGAACACGTAATTGTGTCTTATCTTTTAGAATGTATAATTATTCCTTGAAATAGAATGGATTATTATTAAACTTGAACTTAGAAGTATCATGATATTTAAAAGAATTATTCTTGATATCATAGATAAGAGGATCAGAGGACATACTTGATTGAATTTGCTTCACAATGATTGAATCAACAATCAATGTTAATTTTGTTACTTAAAGGTAAAAATGCTCTAGGTTCAAAAAAATTATTCTTTGTTGATTAAAAGATGCATCTCCTTCTTTTAATGCAAGATAAGAATATGTAGAAAGAATGTCCAACAAACCTTATTTTTTTTTGAGTTAATAAGTGATCTTGAAATCAATTCTCAATAAAGACATACTCCAACGAGCTGTCACGGACATGTGCATGTAAGCCAATAATTACATGTATAAATAGGTAGAAGTAAGTAAAATTATGTAAAAGTAAGTTAATTCTATAGTATTTGATATTGAAGCTTTTTAGAAGCTTCATAGACACTGTTTTGATTTTATAGGTATCTTTAATTGACTTTTTGGAATTAGAAACGTGGTCAACAAGTTGGCCATGTGCCACACATGTTGTTAGCTTGAAGACCAAGCTAACTATGTAGCCCACACATAGAAAAACTTGCCTTGTAAATTAAAGCATGTATCCTATAAAGTCAACACATATTGGAGGTCCTATAAAATGTCACCACGTAGCCTTTAGTTAGATAGTATATATAAAAACAAGAGTGAAGCCTTCTTGACTCTTGTCAACTCCTTTCTTGCTTCCAATATAGTTTCAAGGGTCTCTAATTTTCTTAGCTTTTGGCAATAGCCATTTCAGTTTCTTTCTTTATATATATATATATATATATATATATATATATATATCAAGTTATTTCTATTTTTTCATCTTTCTATGAAAGAAGTCTCACTTGTTTATTTGTCTTTATCATGTTCTTATCCTTGATAGATTGACAAGAGTACACTTACAATATTAGAGCTTTATCTAATCTTCATTAAGAGTAGATTATCCCCTTTTTTTTTTTATAAGAACCAAGCATATTAGAAGTTGCGGATTACCTTCTTCTAAATTAATATTGTCCTTAGTATTTTCTTTGTTCTCAATTCCTCTCTTCTATTTTTCTTAAGCAATATTAGACATCTTCTCTTTTCTAAGTGAACTTCATATGCCATTTTAAATCTCCAGCAGGAACTCCAATTTTATTTGTGGAGAAAAAAGATAGATCATTACGGATGTGTGTTGATTATTGAGGACTCAACAAAATCACTATAAAAAATAGGTACTGCTACCTTTGATAACTGGACTTCTTAATCAGTTGAATCAAGTTAAGATCTATACAAAAATAGATCTACGGAGAACATACAATTTGGTACGCATCAAAGAAGGAGATGGATGGAAGATTACGTTTCGAATAAGGTATGGACATTTCGAATACAACGTCATGCCTTTTGGACTTACAAATCCACTAGCAGCATTTCAACATCTAATGAATGATGTCTTTCAAGAGTTTTTAGATGATTTTATTGTCTGTTACCTAGACGACATCTTAATCTATTCTAAAAACTCAGAAGAACATGAACTTCATGTTCGCCAAGTATTACAAAAATTAAGAGATGCATGACTCTATGCCAAAATAGAAAAGTGTGTATTTCACACTACTCAAGTTGACTTCTTATGATACATCATTTCAAATAATGGACTTATGAAGGATCCTAAGAAAGTTCAAACTATTATGGATTGGAAGATCCCAAAAATGGTAAGAGATGTC